TAAGACAGATCTCTATAGGCTAAATCTCCATCGTTTCTACCATGTACCGTATACAGTGTATCACAAAAGTGAGTACACCCCTCACACTCCTGCAGATATTTAAGTAAATATTTTCATGGGACAACACTGACAAAATGACACTTTGACACAATGAAAAGTAGTCTGTGTGCAGCTTATGTAACAATGTAAATTTATTCTTCCCTCAAAATAATTCAATATACAGCCATTAATGTCTAAACCACTGGCAACAAAAGTGAGTACACCCCTTAGTGAAAGTTCCTGAAGTGTCAATATTTTGTGTGGCCACCATTAATTACCAGAACTACCTTAACTCTCCTGGACATGGAGTTTCCCAGAGCTTCACATGTTGCCACTGGAATGCTTTTCCACTCCTCCATGACGACATCACGGAGCTGGCGGATATTCGAGACTTTGCGCTCCTCCACCTTCTGCTTGAGGATGCCCCAAAGATGTGCTCTTGGGTTTAGGTCTGGAAACATGCTTGACCAGTCCATCACCTTTACCCTCAGCCTCTTCAATAAAGCAGTGGTCGTCTTAGAGGTGTGTTTGAGGTCATTATCATGCTGGAACACTGCCCTGCCACCCAGTTTCTGGAGGGAGGGGATCATGCTCTGCTTCAGTATTTCACAGTACATATTGGAGTTCATGTGTCTCTCAATGAAATTTAACTCCCCAACACCTGCTGCACTCATGCAGCCCCAGACCATGGCATTCCCACCACCATGCTTGACTGTAGGCATCACACACTTATCTTTGTTCTCCTCACCTGATTGCCGTCACACATGGTTGAGACCATCTGAACCAAACAAATTAATCTTGGTCTCATCAGACAATCGGACATGGTTCCAGTAATCCATGTCCTTTGTTGACATAGCTTCAGCAAACTGTTTGTGAACTTTCTTGTGTACAGACTTCAGAAGAGGTTTCCTACTGGGATGACAGCCATGCTGACCAATTTGATATAGTGTGCGGCATATGGTCTGAGCACTGACAGGCTGACCCCCCACCTCTTCAATCTCTGTAGCAATCCTGACAGCACTCCTGCGCCTATCTTTCAAAGACAGCATTTGGATGTGATGCTGAACACGTTCACTCAGCTTCTTTGAATGACCAACGCAAGGTCTGTTCTGAGTGGACCCTGCTCTTTTAAAACGCTGGATGATCTTGGTCACTGTGCTGCAGCTCAGTTTCAGGGTGTTGGCAATCCTCTTGTAGCCTTGGCCATCTTCATGTAGCACAAGAATTCGTCTTTTAAGATCCTCAGAGAGTACTTTGCCATGAGGTGCCATGTTGGAACTTTCAGTGACCAGTATGAGACAGTGTGAGAGCTGTACTACAAAATTGAAAACACCTGCACCCTATGCACACCTGAGACCTAGTAACACTAACGAGTCACATGACATTTTGGAGGGAAAATGACAAGCAGTGCTCAATTTGGACATTTAGGGGTGTAGACTCTTAGGGGTGTACTCACGTTTGTTGCCAGTGGTTTGGACATTAATTACTGTATATTGAGTTATTTTGAGGGAAGAATAAATTTACATTGTTACATAAGCTGCACACAGACTACGTTTCCTGTCAAAGTGTCACTTTGTCAGTGTTGTCCCATGAAAAGATATACTTAAATATCTGCAGGAATGTGAGGGGTGTACTCACTTTTGTGATACACTGTATATCACACATTCCTAGTAGGTTCACAGTCATACGTGAGCAGAGTGAACAGGAGAGGGCTTAGCACACATCCCTGATGGGAGCCAGTACTGAGGGTTATGGTGGAGGAGGAGAAGTTGTGGACACTCACTGACTGCGTTCTGTTTGTTAAAAAGTCTAGAACCCAGTTGCAAATGGAGGGGCTTAGGCCTAGTGTGAGTAGTTTGTCCTTCAGGGTTTGGGGGATCATAGTATTGAAGGCAGACGTGAAGTCCACAAAGAGCATACGGACGTAGGAGTCCTTCTGCTCCAGGTGGGTGAGAGCAGTGTGGACCACAGAGGAGATGGTGTCCTCTGTTGATTGATTCTCACATTATGCACATTGGTGAGGGTCCTCGTTAGTGCCTCGAAAGAGGTTAGCCAAGAAGACATATGACCATAAGATGACTGAAGAGAGGAGTCAGGAATGTAAGGAGATAGGACATAGAGCAAAGAAGGAGGTAGCTAAGGCAAAGCAGAAGGTGTATGATGAGTTGTACTGGAGGCTGGACACTAAATAGGACGAGAAGGACTTGTACCGATTGGTGAGACAGAGGAATCAGGCTGGAAAGGATATGTAGCAGGTCAGACTTGTTAAAGATAGGAATGGTAATGTTCTAACAAGTGAGGAAAGTGTGACTGGAAAATGGAAGGAATACTTTGAGGAGTTAATGATTTAAGAAAATTAAAGAGAAAGAAGAGTAGAGGTCATAGAAATTGTGGTCCAGGAAGTGGGAAAGATTAGTGAGGGTGATGTCCAGAAAGCTCTGAAAATAATGAAGAAGGGGAAGGCAGTAGGACCTGATGACATACCAGTGGAGGTTTGGAAATGTCTTGGAGAGATGGCAGTGAGGTTTTTGACTCAACTATTCAATGGCATATTTGAGGGTGAAAAAATGCCCGAGGCATGTAGAAGAAGTGTGCTGGTGCCCATTTTTAAGAACAAGGATGATGTACAGAGTGGAAGCAACTACAGGGGAATTAAGTTGATGAGTCAAACAGATCTGGGAGAGAGTTGTGGAAGCAAGACTTACTGTAGATGAGAGTTGACTATTTGTGAGCAGCAGTATGGTTTCAGGCCAAGAAAGAGCACCACAGATGCCATCTTTGCTTTGAGGATGCTGATGGAGAAATACAGAGAGGGTCAGAAAGAACTGCGTTGTGTCTTTGTGGATTTAGAAAAAAGCATATGACAGGGTGCTGAGGGAGGAGGTGTGGTATTGCATGAGGATATCTGGACTGTATGAGGACAGCAGGACAGTGGTGAGATGTGCTGTAGGAGTGACAGATAGCTTCAAGGTGGAGATGGTATTGCATCAAGGATCGGCTCTGAGCCCCTTCTTGTTTGCTCTGGTGATGGACCGACTAACAGATAAATGATAAATGCAATGTACTTGTATAGCACCTTTCTATGTAGTCAAGATACTTAAAGCACTTTACAACAGCCAGCAACTTGTGCCCTCATTTACCCACCCACACAGCACTCTACTAAATCTCTACAAAGCTAATCTGAATCTGTAGAGACTTATCAATGCTTTAGATCACATTCATACACTGATGGGACACACATTGGGGGCGATGAGGCGTTCCATGTCTTGACCAGGGACACTTCATCATGTGATTGCTGGTGGGATCGAACCCCCAACTCTACCGTTGGAAGATGACTGGTCTAACCACTTAGCCACAGCTGCCCCCTAAATGAGAGATTCAATTCAATTCAGTTTATTTATATAGCGCCAATTCACAACAAAGTTGTCTCAGGGCACTGTACAGAAACATTCACTTACATAGAAAAGCCAATTAGTAAAGTTATCTATCTAAGGAATCCAGCAGACACGTTCAATCTTCACTTCATCACAGTCTTCCATCCTGAGCAAGCACAAAGGCAACAGTGGAAAGGAAAAACTCCCTTTTCAAAGGAAGAAACCTCCAGCAGAACCAGGCTCAGGACAAGCGGTCATCTGCTTCGATCAGTTGGGTTTGAGAGGACAGAAGGGAGAGACAAACAAACACAGAATGGCATGTCCAGATGTAGGTGCAGGTGTACCTCCTATTGGATGAAAGACAAACATACATGTCAAGGATAAATAATTACAAATACAAAACAAGTTGAGTTTGCTCAAGGTAGAAGGAAGTAAAGACAGTAGCATAGTAAAGAAATGTAGTCAGTTTGTCCTCAAGCCTATAGCAGTATAACTAAAAGATAGCCCAGGAAACGCAAGCCAACCCTAACTATAGAATCAAAAAGGAGACTTAAGCCTAATCTTAAAACTGATGAGATGAAGTCAGGCAGGAATCCCCATGGACTTTGATGTTTGCAGATGACTTTGTGATCTGTGGTGAGAACAGGGAACAGGTGGAGGAGATGTTAAAGAGGTGGAGGTGTGCACTTGAAAGAAGAGGAATGCAATTAAGTCGTAGTAAGACAGAGTACATGTGTGTGGATGAGAGGGAGGCTGGTTGAACAGTGAAGCTACAAGGAGCAGAGGTCACAAATGTGCAGGACTTCTAGTACTTGGGGTCCACTGTCCAGGAAAATGGGGAGTGTGGTAAAGAGGTGAAAAAGAGAGTCCAGACAGATGGAGTGGATGGAGAAAAGTTTCAGGGGTGATTTGTGACAAATGGTGGCAGCAAAGATCAAAGGAAAAGTTTACAAGACAGTTGTGAGACCAGCTGTGTTATATTGTCTGGAGACAGAGACATGGACATGTTTCTGTACATTGCCCTGAGAAGACAGGAGAAAGAACTGAATGTGGCAGAAATTAGGATGTTGAGGAGGTTCTCCTTAGGAGTGACAAGGATGGATAAGATTAGGAATGAGATCATCAGCAGTCCAGCACAAGTTGAACAACTGGGAGATAAAGTTAGAGAGTCTAGATTGAGATGGTTTGGACATGTCCAGAGGAGGGACAGTGGGTATATTGGTAGAAGGATGTTAGAAATGCAGCTGCCAAGAAAAAGACAAAGAGGAGATATATGGATGCAGTTAGAGAGGACATGGAAGTAGTTGGAGTGAGGACAGAGGATGCAGAGGACAGAGTGAGATAGAGGAGGATGACTCACTGTAGTGACCCCTGAAGAGGGGACAGCTGAAAGAAGAATTTACATTTCAGTTCAGTTTATTTATATAGCTCCAAGTCACAACAGAAGTCATCGCAGGGCACTGTACAGAAACATTCATATACATGTAAAGTGAATAATGTTATTTATCTGAGGAAGAAGAAAAGTGTGTAATTTTTTTCATTGACCAAAAAAGTTACTGTATATATTTCTCTCTTTTTTTCTCTCAGGACTACAGCATTGATGAAGAAGCAGCACTTCAGGCAGCTTTGGCACTGTCACTGGCTGAAAACTAACAAAAGTCACAACATTTTTTACTACACTGCTGTTCTTCCATGGGTGACAAGCTATTGTCCACTGTACTGGTGAACCTGATCCACCAAATCTCAGACACTATTCCAGTGTATTCTCACTTGTTTCTCCTGGTGTAGCAGTTCATAAACTTTGATGTATTACAAAACAAAAGCAGTTTGAATACATCTTCATGAATTCAAGTGGATATGATAACTTGGGAACAAGCTGATGTTTGGGTCAGGAACAGATCCAAGATGAGCTCCAAAGACACTGGTCACATGTTGACTTTGCAGTCTGTCTACAGTTTGGAAACATTTCATCTCAGCACAGCTTCAGTTCACCTGACGGCTCCCATTTGGACCGCCACAGCATGAAGAGCTACCTCCCTTGAAAATGTCTTGTCTAATAGTTTGATGAAACATGCTGCTGATTTCACATCCTCATCAGTTGTTCAGGCCTCTGTTCACCAGTAAGGTCCCATGAAGTCCTGACCGCTGGTACTCACTGTGAGTTATCGGACTGATACCATCACAGACTTCAGTTTTTCCCTGCAGCAACAAAGACGGACCATCTACTAAGCTGGTCAGCAAGCCCTTTCTGCTCAAATAGCATCTGCACAAACATATTTTCTACGTACTAGGGGTGTAACAGTAATACAGTTGAAAACAGATGTTGACATACACTGTATAACAATACATTATTATTGTTGTTTACATTTTTTTTACATTACATCAGACTATACCTTACCTGTTTTAGGCCTTATAAATAATTTCTGTTTGCAAAATTCGCAAATAATCAAAGACAGGAAATTCTTTAAGATAATATGTTTATTACGTTCCTCAAAATTACAAGTTTTCATACACCAAGATACTATGCCTTCAATCAAATTTAAAAAGCTCACAGGATGATGCCGTGTCTTTCAAAGCTTTTGATAGATTAGTTGACATTTGAGGTACACCTCTGCATCATTTTAAGGCACACGTCAAGCACACTGCTTCTTTGTGTGACATTATGGGAAAATATTTAGATGTCTGCCAAGACATCAGGAAAATAATTGTTCACCTGCATAACTCTGGTTCATCCTTGGGCACAATTTCCAGATGCCTGGAGGTGCTACATTCATCTGTTCAAACTTATAAAAGAACTGTGAACACTGTGGGAATGTCCTGCCATCATACTGCTCAGGAAAGAGTTCTGTGTTTCTGAAATTAATGTATTTGGGGGCAAACTGTGAGTCTCAACCACAAAACAAAAGCAAAAGACCATGCAAAGGTTCTGACTAAACCTTGTAGAGAGAGTCATTATCCACAGGTTAACAAGTCCTGTACCCACATGGACTGAAAGGCCACATAGCAAGGAAGAAAACATTACTCCAAAACTCAAATTATGTCTTGGGGATGTTTCACAAAATATATGGCATGACGAGGAAAAAACAATCTATATAACATAAATTTGGAAACCTCAAACAGTAAAGGGTTAGTCTGATTTAATGTCAGAGTGAGAAAAATAGCAGTGAGTCTTTTTATGCAGTTTATGTAAATATCTGGTTTCATCTGTAAATCATTGTTCTGCAAGTACCTTCATGTTGGAATCATGGTTTGGTACCCCAAGAGCAAGTTACAAATACCAATTTTTATTTTTTGAACTGGACAATAACTTCCCCAAATGTACAGAAAGGGAGGAATTCTCAGCTGGTAATTTAAAAAGTCCTGTTGCTCAATTGGAACTTGAAATATTTTTACAGTTCGTGTGTTGAAAAGTTGGATGAACTCCAAACTGAAAAGTGTCTTTCTTTTGTTAAAAAAATGCAAAAAATGGAGTACTGTTTGTAGTGTTAGTTTATCCTAAACTTGATGCACAATAAAATGCATTGCATAACATCCATCCATCCATTATCTTTACCCGCTTCTTCCTTTTTGGGTGGTGGGGTCATTGGTGCCCATATCCAGCTATCACTGTACAAGAGACATTCCATCTCCAAATGTGAAAGTACAACAAATAATACTTTAAAAACTGAGAAGCTGATGGGTGTTCTATGCAGATGTTGAATATTAAATGCTTCTGGATATATTTAGAAGCTTTTATTAATTTATTAAGGTATTTTAAAGCACATGAATTATGACCCTTTTTTTGCTTGCCACATATGAATTTAAGAATTCTGCAACAGGTCATGGGAAAATGTTCACACAGCTGGTATGAAACAAACGTAAATATCTAAAACACCTCCTGCTTCATTTGGACAAACGATTGTTTCAATGTAGAGTGCTTTATACAGTCTCTTCTTGTACTCATTCTTTTATGACAGGTAGCAAAAAGCAAATTAAAATAACATCTGTTCCCTGTGTGCAGAAGAGGTGATCACCACTCCTGAAATCCTGATAATCAGAATCCCTGATACTTGTACCTTAACAGTTGATACAAATGCATGTAAGTGGTAAATGGACTGTACTTATACAGCTCCTTTCTATCTTATCAAGATACTCAAAACGCTTTACAACACAATCTGTGCCTCATTTACCCATTCATACAGCACTCTACTAGATCTGTACAAAGAATAATTAGAGCTTTATCACATTCATACACTGATCATGGGCCACGCATCAGAGGCAATGAGGGGTTCAGCGTCTTGCCCAGAGGCACTTCAGCATGTGACTTGTTGGTGGAATCGAACCCCCAACTCTTGCATATGAGGACAACGTCCCTAACCACTCAGCCACAGCCACCCATGTACAGTTGCACCCATACTGCACACTGGCAATAACCAGATTAGAAAAAATAAAAATGGGTTTCAGTGAAGCACTGGCAAGTGTGGGAGACATGCACTGTAATGGACTTCACATGCTCAGCAATGAAAGTCTTTCACATTACTCACAGATTGACTGGCTGGTAGTAACTTTATTGTGCAACTCTTGGTTTTTCATCAGATGATATGGTCAGTGTTAATTTTTATAGTTTTGTTTTTGCTTCATGCGTTTCAATCACCACCAAAATGACAGCAATAGTACACCTCATCGAGAGGCTAAAATACCCTGTCAGTTTAAAATCAGGCTAAATTATCCTCCAGTTTCAAAGATTCACTGCAGTCTTCTTCTGTAGACTTTTTATTTTATTTTTCTAATAAGCAATTTGGATAAATGTAGTTGTGATTTGACTGACCCGTGTCCCCTTTAATACACTAAAAAGGGTTAGTTTATTACTAATTTAGTGCAAAAGCCTATAAAGAACTTTACTAATGGTCTGCATTAGGATGTAGTACTGACCGATGGCTTGTACGAGTATTTTCAAAGTCCTTGTCCAAAAGTTTTTAATCATATAAAATCTGTTCTTTTGTTCTCAAAAATGTAAGATTTGATGTTTTTGAATAAACTTATCATGGCTTATAATTTAATATTTTCTTTTATTCTTTTTCTGTCATAGCTCTGCTCTCTGTCAGCTCCTCTGTCATGCTGCACACTCAGTAATCACTCAACTCATGTCACCTGTCACCGCTCATTATCCCACAGCTCCACCACCTGGTCCAGTCAGTACTTAAGCTCACTCATTCCTCTCAGTCTGGGCCAGATTCTCTATCCTGTCTCATCAGCAGTAGACTTTCCAGCATTCCATTGATTGACTCATCACGTTCATGACCCTTGCCTTGACCACGACCACGCTTTTGCCTCAGCCCTCGTCTGCTTTTGCTCATCTGATCAGGTACCGACTCATGCTCTTGTTTTTTGACTCTCTTTTTGGATCACGTACTGGATACTTCTGCTGAACAACTGACTTCACGGTATGAACTCTGCCTTTCCCTTCTGACTGTTTTTTGGATCACGGATTAAAGGTCAAGCTCATTCTGTATCACGGACTTATCCTTACCCCTGAATCTGATTCCCACAGATTCATTTCCCCAATTAGTCTCTTTCCCCCTGCATCTACTAACCTTTATCTTTTAGTTGCAAGCCTGTTGGACTCCGTTCCAGTGGACCTTAACATCAGTTCTACCTCTACTGGCAGCCCGCCACTACAACACTACCCAATCACGAACTACCAATCAGAAGATCGGAACCAGCCCAGAACTGGACCTACTCCAGAGTTTTACTTTATTTCACAATAAATCTTTTAACCCTCTCAGTGGTTGTTGTTGTTGTTTGCGATCCGGCCTCTGGTTCATGACATTTTCACTAAATGATCAGTCACCTTTCTCAGCCTTGTCAAACAGCTGTGAACCAAACTTTTCCTGTAGCTGTTCTTTCTATTTTTCAGTCTATCCCAACAAAGACAGCCTCAACTAGATTGGTTCCTCCATCCATCTACACGACCGCATAAGGACCACCTGCAGCTGTATAATATCGATGGTCATCAACGTTATATGGAATTGCAGCCAGATGTTTACATGCATTCATTATGGGGTGAAACTGGCTTCACTGTGGCACTGCTCTTCCAGATGTTTCAATTTTATGGCAGGCTTGATCCATTAGTGATTCCTGGGTCATTGTTTTTCATATTCCCTGTATTTTGAGTCCACACAACATGCAGACAAAGCATTTACTTGGCGTTTTTAAAAATGTTCACTTTGAAAAGTGCTTTTGTTTTTCTAATCAAAAACTCAGTTTGTTAATGGACAGCAAATACAAACACAAAAGAAAATGAATTTTAAAAATATTTGCTGTAGTGCATAGTATACACGCACGCACGCACACACACACACACATATATATCATAAAGTTCATCTTTAATAGATGATAGATTCAGGGTCCACAATTTAAACAATTTCAAGTATTTATTTGTTTATTTTTACATAATTTGGGTTTCCAGCTCATGAAACCCATGAAAACAGGATTTCAAAATATTAGAATACCGTGAAGACATCAGCCCACACTACTTCTCAGTTTTTGCAGAAAAAAAGAAAGAAATTAGGATCAAAACAAATCAATCAAAATATGGTATTTTCAAAACGATATGTCAATCTTCAATACTTGGTTGTGAATCCCTTTGCCTTAATCACTGCCTCGATGTGACGTGGCATTGACTGGGAGTTATGGAAGCCCACATTTCCTTGATGCTGTCAGATCTTCTTTGTTGTTGGGTCTGGTGCACCTCATTTTCCTCTTGAGAATACCCCATAGATTCTCAATGGAGTTTAGGTCCGGTGAGTTGGCTGGCCAGTCAAGCACCATGGCATGGGCATCAAACCAGGTTTTGGTGCTTCTGGTGGCACAGGCAGGAGCCAGGTCCTGCTGGAAGATGAAATCTGCATCTCCATACAGATCCTCAGCAGAAGGAATCATGAAGTCCTCTAAAACATTCTGGTAGACTGTTGTGGTGACCTTGGATTTAAGAAAGCAGAGTTTATCAACACCTGCACTGGACATTGCACCCCAAATCATGACTGACTGTGGATATTTCACACTGGACCTCAAGCAGTATGGGTTCTGTTCCTCACCCTTCTTCCTCCAAACCCTTGTACATTGATTTCTGAATGAAAGGCACACTTTACTTTCATAGGAAAAGAGGACCGAGGAACCCGACAGTTGTAGCCCATCTCCCGGATACGTCTGAATGTGGTGGTTTTTGAAGCTGCGACTCTGCCTCATTCCACTCTTTCTGGATCTCTGCCAGATTCTGGAATCTTCTCTGTTTGATAATCCGCTGAAGCCAAGCACACAGTCGTCATATATAAATATATATATATACATATATGTATATATATATATATATACACATATATATATATACATATATACTTTGTATAATGGCTGCGTATATATATATATTCGGCTGCTCCTTTCTTCAGGGGTCACCACAGTGAACTAACTCACATGAAGATATGCCAATTATTTTTATGCCGGATGCCTTTCCTGACGCAACCACAAAGGCACCGAGCTACCACAGCCCTCTCTGTGAAGCAGAAAGCTGCTATCTAGGGCACCCGGGGAGCAGATGGTGGGGGTCAAGGGCCTTGGTCAAGGTCCCAGAGTGGGTGAAATGAGGGTGGAGGCAGGTGTGGGTGCTTCACATTTCCTACCCACATTTTGATGTTGTCCAGGGTGTCAAACCAGCAACCTTCCAATCACAGGCGATGCCACCTCTCCCCCTAGTGTGTGTGTGTGTGTGCATGTATATATATATATATATATATATATATATATATATATATATATATATGCATTTTAGTTCATGTTTATACAATCCTACAATAAAAACAGGTGTAGTTGAACCAGCTGGCTTCAGGTGTTCTGCAGAGTTTCGTTCTAAAACCAACACACTTACAACCACTAAAAAACAGAATTGGGTGGCACAGTTGGTTGAGCTACAGCCTCTCAGCGAGAAGTTTGCCGGATCGAATCCCGGCCGGGGATCTTTCTGGGTGGAGTTTGCATGTTCTCTCCGTGATGCGCGGGTTTTCTCCGCGTATTCGTTTCCTCCCACAGACCAAAAACATACGTTAGACTGATTGGTAACTCTAAATTGTCTCTAGGTGTGAATGAGAGAGTGAATGGTTGTTTGTCTTGTTTGTCTCTATGTGTCCCTGTGATGGACTTGTAGACCTGTCCAGGTGTCACCCGCGTCTTGCACAGTGACTGCTGGACATGGGCACCAGTGACCCCCATGACCCAAAAAGGAAGAAGCAGACGATGGATGGATGTAAAAACTGAATCCAATCAAGTCGATGGAACCGA